GGAAGCGGGAGGGGAGCTGTTACACTGTGGGTGGGAACTGCAGTCAATGTCATGAAACAAAATGTGTATGAACTGCAGTGTGGAAAATGAATTTGTTTCGTCAATGTTCACCCAAATCACAATAAAATATATATATATATTTTTTTAAAAAAGCAATCTAAAAGAGTATGTTTAACACTTGAAATGAGTCACTATGGAATTATATATGTCTAAAGGATAAGTTTTATAAATGGAAATATGTCAATTAGGTATGTTGCTATTTAAAGACAGCTATGAATACTGTTTTATAACATAGAAAAGAACGTATAATGTTAAACTTTTAAATTTACAAAATGTAAAAAATATGCAACTATGCAAAAATTTCTCCAGTGTGAATTTTTTGGTGTTAAAGAAATAGAAATGGTGAAGGCCTCTGATGATGGACGTAACAGGATTTTCTTTTTATAAATGCTCATCAATAGGTCTGAAAGGAAGCATTCCAAAGTGGCAATGGTGAATTTTTTTTTTTTTTTTTCCTAAGTAGGAAATTACAGGCGCTTCTCCTTTTTGCTTACTTTTCTCACTTAATTTCTCTAAAATGAACATACAGTGCTTTTGGATTAAGAAAAGTTTTCACAAAAAAGAGAAAAAAAAAGAGGTTTCTTTAATTAACAAGAAATGACCTCTCTCCCTGACAACACTGTGGGGACAATAAATAAAGGGAGGCAGGTGAGGGCAGAGGAAGTACACAGCAGGACTCTGGACTCACAGAGTCTCCTCATCATGTGGAGAAGTCTTCCCGAAGATGAATCCTCTGATGCTGAAACACATTGGAGCTGTGCCGGAAGGCCTTGCCACACTCACTGCACTTATAGGGCTTTTCTCCTGTGTGGATTCTGCGGTGCTGTATCAGGTAAGTGCTCTGGCTGAAGGCCTTCTTGCAGTCTGTGCATTTGTACGGCTTCTCTCCATGATGTGATCTTTGGTGGTGAATGAGTCTGGAACTGTTGTGAAAGGCCTTCCCACACTCGCTACACTTATAAGGCTTCTCCCCGGTGTGGATCCTCTGATGTTGGATAAGGTGTGTGCTCTGGCTGAAGACTTTGCCACAATCATTACATTCATAGGGCTTCTCTCCAGTGTGGCTTCTCTGATGTTCAACAAGTTTGGTTTTTTGGATGAAGGCTTTCTCACATTCATTACATTTATAAGGTTTCTCTCCAGTGTGAATTCGCTGATGTTGGATAAGGTTAGAACTTTGGGTAAAGCCTTTTCCACAATCTTTACACTCAAATGGTTTCTCTCCAGTGTGAGTCCGCCGATGTCGGATAAGGATTGAGCTATCACTGAAGGCTTTTCCACAGTCATTACATTTATAGGGCTTTTCTCCAGTATGGATTCTCTGGTGATAAATAAGAGAAGAATAGGCACTGAAGTGTTTCCCACACTCACCACACTTGTAGGGCTTCTCCCCAGTGTGAATCCTCTGATGTTTCATGAGGTTGGGCCGCCTATTGAATGTCTTCCCACATTCATCACACCTGTAGGGGATCTCCCCTGAGTGCATCCTCCTGTGATTGATGAATTCGCAGCTTTGGCTGAAGGCTTTCCCACATTCATCACACTTGTAGGGCTTCTCCTCACTGTGAAGCCGCTGATGCTTAACAAGGTTAGCACTATACCTGAAGGTTTTCCCACAGTAGCTACAGTAATGCAATTTTTTCCCAATAGGAATTTTCTGATCATTAATTACTGAATTTGTACTGCAGATTTCCTCACAATCATAAACTATGTTTGGTTTTTTTGACCTGTGTACACGCTTATGATTGTTGAGGTAAGATCTCTGTTCAAAACTCTGCTCACATATATCACATTTGTAAGGTCTCTGATCTGGGACAGGGTTTAACCCCAATCTAAGGCTTCCCCTAGACTCCTGGCCCCTCTCCTTACTAGTCGCTATGACTGGCCTAGGGCCCTTCTTCCCCACTGGCTTGTCCAAACACTCCTCCAGCTCCCCAGCATGCTCAGTGTATTCCCCCAGGTCAAGTCTCTGGGGAATAGTCCCCCTGAGTCGATCCAGTTGTTCCCCATCAAACATCTCTCCTGAAGTCAACTCCTTGAACTCAGTGCAGGTCCCATCTGAAACAACAAACAGAACAGAACATCTAAGGGTCACTTGTTCTGACTCTACAAGGAAGGTATGAAGATGTTGCTTACCACAACAGAATAGCAACTTCATCATCTCCAAAGTCACAACAGCCTTGCAGGGATGAGCACCTGGAGCTCAGAGGCTTAAGGACCTTGCCCAGGGCTACAGTTATGTGGCACTGCAAAGATTTCAAACCAAGTCTGATTAACTTTAATACCTAGGCCCTTCCATTATTCACCCCTGTGCCTGACTGCCTGTCTTCTGCCCACAGTACTGGCCTGAGAGTATAGGAGGCCTGTCCTCATCACTGCCAAAAAGAAGATGCAGACTTCATAGCACCATGGAGACCAGAGCAAGGAGGAGCCCCAAAATATCAGAACAGACATCTGACAAATAAAAGCCAGGAAAAACTAAGGCCCCTTGCAACAGCCAATCCATCTAAAAACATGATAGGAAAACCAACTGCCTTCCTGGGAGGGGAGAAGGCCAAGCACATACCAAGACTGAGGAGGAGGGGTAGAAGCATGCATGGGCTGAGGGTCCCTTGGCTTTCCATAACAGGCCACATCTATTCTCAAGGCTCTCCCTGGGTACCTGAGAAGCCACCTCAGTGAGCTACCAGCACCTCAAACCTTGTGCACCCACACAGAGTGTTCTGTGATGTCCTTCCTGCACAGGAGACACACTGTGAGCTCCTCTTGTATGGTTGCTTACTAAGAGAAGGACAGACAGTGACAAGCACCCAGGTGGAGTCCTGTCATGTGATCCCTCAGAGATCAATGCCAGCAGCAATACTTAGGAGCAATCCTGGCCTCTACTTGCCAGCTGAGTGACCTGGAGCAACTTATCTACCTTTGTTGAATCCCAGTTTCCCCATCTGAATAACAGGGGTCAGGACAGCTGCTGTTTTACAGCACTATCATGAGAACAGGATTAAACAACAGAATGAGTGTCAGCACTGTGCCAGGACCACAACCGACACAGTCTTGAAAACAAGCAGAGACACGGTTGCTACTTTCATCGCTGCTCTATTCCCAGTCCCGAGGGTCCCACCTGGTCCTGGACCCTCCACTGTAACTGGCCAATTAGCATATAGGAAGGTGCTGAACTGCCTTATACCCCAGAGACATTCAGGGTATATGCACAGGGTACTACCACAGCACACTCAGCAGAGTGGTAAAATGAAAGAGACAACTACAGTGCCAGCCAGGTCCCCATAGGTCAGGACAGGATGTGCAGCAACAGCTCACACTCACTGTGCTGGAGTTGAAGCTGGAGTCACCATTGGAAAATTGTTTGGCAACAATGTCTGAATCAAACTATGCATATCCTGTGACCCAGCAACTCTACTCTGAGGTACACACCCAACAGAAACACACTGTACGCCAGGAGATACACATGCACAAGAACATTCACAGCAGTCCATGCGTAACAAGGCACACGAGAACAGCCAGATGCAGAATGGAAAACAACCCATGGTGTGTTCACACAGAACAACACTATGCACAAGAACATTCACAGCAGTCCATGCGTAACAAGGCACGCGAGAACAGCAAGATGCGGAATGGAAAACAACCCGTGGTGTGTTCACACAGAACAACACTATGCACAAGAACATTCACAGAAGTTCACGCGTAACAAGGCACACAAGAACAGCCAGATGCGGAATGGAAAACAACCCGTGGTGTGTTCACACCGAACAGCACTATGCACAAGAACATTCACAGCAGTCCACGCATAACAAGGCACGCGAGAACAGCCAGATGCGGAATGGAAAACAACCCGTGGTGTGTTCACACAGAACAACACTATGCACAAGAACATTCACAGCAGTTCATGCGTAACAAGGCACGCGAGAACAGCCAGATGCGGAATGGAAAACAACCCGTGGTGTGTTCACACAGAACAACACTATGGGGCAACAAAACAGAACTGCTACTCCATGCAGCAGCACAGGTGGCTCTCCCACGTTGGACAAGAGGGGCCCTGCAGGGGTGCAGTGGGAATGATGACAGCAGGCACAGCAGATCTTGGGAAGCTGGAAATGTTGTGTATCTTGACTAGGGGATGGTTTCTGGCAAACTTCACTGAGCTGTAAATTTAGGATTTGTACTGTTTCTATAAGTATTTATATTCATATAAGCAAATTTACAAAAGGAAAATTCAAAGTCTTTTGAGCCAGCAATTCCATACTAGGACATATCACACAAGTGCCAAAAAGATAGTAAGTGTGTATGATAATCCCAGAGCCATCCATGACAATGAAAACTGAACAACTTCCCATTGGCACTCCCAATGGAACCACCGCACAGCCCAATGTGTGCCACCACACAGCCACAGGAAACAGAGACCAAGACTCATGTATAGATATGGAAATACATTTAGTGAGAAAAAGCAGATGACACAACAGTGCACATGGAATCAGAACATTCCTGGTTTTTTTTGTACATGGGTATGAGGAAGACTGTGTTAGAAAAAGTATAGTGGGCATGTACTAGAACGTTTTTGTCTCTAGGTCATGAGATTTAGAGTGATGTATATTCTCTTACTTTTCCATCATGGTCTATAATTATCAGAGGGGTTAACTCAGAAAAGCAGAGAATGAAGTAATGGTCTCCACACTGTGTTCTTCTTTAACTCTCCTTATAGGGCATAAGCTTTAGAGGGGAGGGCTGCACCCCAACTCCTGCATGGCCTATGGGGTGCCACGGGCCCCCAGCCTCACCCTTCTCTAAGTCGGGTCTGCCTGGATCACCCTTCCCACAACTCCTCCCCCAATGTTTCCCCTTCCAATCCTCTAAGACAGCTCAAGACCATCCCCACTGAGGGCACCTGGCTGATAGATGACTGTCACAGGCTTAAGAAGCCACTCTCCAAAGTCTCCTGTGCTAGCCCTGCTGTATCTTCTCCCAAATTCATTAGTCATTAACAAGATCCGTTAGACCCCAACAAATGCTTGTTCAGCAACTGAGTTTGGACAGGGGGCAGCTCCTCCTCACTCACCTGAACTGTCAACTCTCCCCTTGGCTCCCTTTACATCCAGGACCCACGGCTCATCCCCACGTTCCAGCTGTGAGATGACCCCAGGTTTTGGACCTGCAAGTCCTGCTCCTGGGAAGGAGACGGAGCTGGGAGTTGGTACCAAAGACATGGCTGGACCAGTTCAGTCTAGCACTGGAGTTGCTTTCGTGGGTAGACCCAGCAAAGTCTGGACACACTCTGGAAGAAAGAGCTCAAAACTGGCCATGATGCTCATGAGGATGGAGATCTACACACAGGAAGTAAAAGCTCAGGGGCATTCCACCAGAGGGAGGAACTCCTCTGGGGAGGGGTCTGTCTGGGGCAGGGAGGTTGTTCTTCTCTGGGAGCTCAGAGTAGGGCGAGACTGACTCAGGGAGTCTCCTAGCTTCACCTGTCCCTCCTCCCCACACACTAGGCCCGACTAGGATCAGGGTTGGCATCACCCATCTCTGGGCCCAAGGGATGAAGAACCTCTAAGCCCTGACCCAGTGCCAGCCAAGCCTTTGATTTCCAAGCTGTTCGTAGAGCTGACTCCCAGAAAGAGGCCTTACCCAGTGAGACCAGGTTCCCGTAGGTCTCCAGCATCACGTCCCTGTACAGGCCCCTCTGAGCAGGGCCCAAGTGACCCCACTCCTCCCGGGAGAGAAGCACAGCCACGTCCTCGAAGGTCACCGCAGCCTGGAATGACAGGACCCTTCTGCAGCCCTGGGATCCAGCCCAGCGTGGAGCCCTGGGTAGGAGGGCAGCAGAGGTGTGTGCTGGAGGCAGCAGCACAAGGCTCCCAGGGTCACCCCTCCTCTGCTAACAGAACCCCAGCTCAGAGACATGACTGTTCCCCAAAGTGGGAAGCTCTCAGTGGAGACCTCACACGGCCCAGAGGAGACACTCACTCACCTGGGGCTGGGCAGACAAAAGCTCCACTGCCATCGCCAGGCGCCCTAGGCGTTTCAGAGTCTGTGTGCAGAACCCTGTCACACAGGTGCTGAGGGGAGAGAAAGGAACATCTGGAGACCCAGCCCAGCCCCTTCTTCCATAGCTGGGGCCCACTCACACTATCCTGCCTCCATGACCTCAATGGCCTCCTCCTGCTGTCACCAACTCCAGGCTGGTCCCAGGGCATAGCCCCTGCTGTTCCTGAGAGCCAGCTCAGGGCCCCTTCCCCTCCCCAGGCCTGTCCCCACTTCCACATGGATGACCCCCCCAACTCAACCATCCTCTCAGGTTGTCCTCCTCCTTCCTCCTCCTCCCTGGCATGCTGAATTGCTGTCTCATTCTGGAGGAGGGTGGAAATACTCATTCACTTTATATAAAAGAACCAAGACAGAACATTAAGGGTTTAGGAAGAAAAGGAATTAGAAGCTAATGACATACAGCATATAAAAAAAGACAAGGTATAGATTATAAAATACATAAGTAGTGGAAATAAGTCCAAATACATGAGTAATGGTGAGAAAAAGAAAAGAATTAAACTCACCTACTAGAAGCACAAGACTCTCCAATTAGATACACAAAATGCAGCTGACTGACCTAAAATAAAGTAACAGAAAGGCTGAGTACAAGACAGACAGCCCTGACAAACACTGCCTTTCACTGAAATAAGGCGTTTCCACAGAAGAGAAGCTCAATGGAAAACGACAAGTAACACAGGCCCACGTAGACAGCACCTGGGTCAAGAAAGAGCAGGACCCACTCCTGTGCCCCTGCAATCACCCTCCTCAACCCAAGACAGTGAACGCTGTCCTGACTGCTGAATCCACAGATCACTTGGGCCTGTTTTAAACTTTATGAGTCTGTACTCTGCTCAGCATGGTGTCTATAAGCTTCATATATACTCCTGCATGTGGTTTAGCTGTAACACCAACCAAAACAGAAGTGAAAGCAAAAACCATTAATAAGAACAAAGACAATGCATATTAATAACAAGAAAAACCTACCAAAGAGCTGTAATAATCACAAATGTGTACATATTTGATTGTTGTTGTTTGCTGTTGAGTAGGACCCGACTCATAGTGACCCCTCCTTGGATTTCTAAGGCAGTATCACTACGGGCTCAAGTATAGCAGGGATTGTGGGGCTGGCGCGGGATCGGGCAGTGTTTCGTTCTGCTGTGCATGGGGTCGCTATGAGTCGGAAACGACTCCACGGCACTTAACAACAACAGTACAGTTCAAGGAGCTCTGGTGGCATAGTGCCTAAGGCATTTGATTGCTAACCAGAAGGCTGGCACTTCAAACCCACCAGCC